TAGTTACCCCACCTTAAGAAGTGTTTTGTTGATAGCTGCTATTCAACAATAATATATAGACTTCGATGCCTCGATTTCCTGTGAGATTATGATAAATGCAAAGTCTATAATTGAGCACATCCCCAGCTTAAATTCTTATACCCCATTCTTATTTTCCATATGCTTATCACTTAACCGTTCTTATGAAAATATACATGCTTAAATTTTCATATTTAAATTTCGAATGTTTTGAATAACCCTTTTTTTATATATATACACCTATACTATATAATTGTAATTTGTTTTGAAGCATCATCAGAAATGGCAGGTATATACTGACATTTTCCTCTTTTACTCCACTTTACTGTACCTATTTGTTCATACTTGTATTATTATTATTACTACTTTTTACTCTGCTACTCTTTATGTTGCTACTCTTTATTGCTTTTCTGGCATGTTTATAGTGCCCTAGGCAGCGAATGTAGAATATATGCTTAGGATTGGAACCCTATAACACATAACCAAAATACATTTTTTAACTTCAACATCTTTTAAAATTTCATTACAAATCATTTTCAAAAGCCCAAGAAATGTTTTTAAATTTCAACATACTAATAATAGCAACATAATAATTCACTCTTTTGGATTTATGAGAATTCTCATATGAGGTAACTTACGGTTGCTAACGAAAATTCTCAGGTCTAAATTAGTCTAACAACTAGTTTGGACTAAATAAATCCAAAATTAACAGTGGCACCAAAATGATGGAACCGTGAGATCTTAACTGGTGTCACTTAACATAAAATAAAACCCACTATTTCTCTTCAACAGCAACGAGCACCAATTCAAAATACATTGTATAAAAACACACTATATATCTCAAATAAATTTTCTTAAGATATGTTTCCTCTTCTAGCTTCCCTCTTTTTGGGACGAGATAACAGCGTGTTCAAGTGATGATTCATCTCCGAGCAGCAGTCAAGGCGACAACAGAAGGCAGAAGGAAGAGCTTCAACTGAACTTCCATAGACTTAATTAACATTCACCCATAGGACTTTAAGGTTGTTCGTCTCGTATGATGTAAATCCTCACACTATCTTTTATGACTTCGTATGATTGTATATTATATGATATAAGTTCTAAAGTCTTTTTAGGGTTTTGAGATCGTCATGTGGTACGAAATAAATCCTCCTATTTTTTGGGCTATTTCCATATAACATGCAGATATAAGTCTTGAATGTCTGAATAATTTACAGGACTAAAACATCAAATATATTCTCTTTCAAAGATGTAAAGTCAAAACATATATTAGTTTGAGATGACACTGAAGCTTCTTCAGTATCTTCGACATCTTCTACTCTTCACTCCTTCGGGTTCCGAAAATGACTTTTCCTCATTGAGCCTATCTCTTTGGCTTTTCTGTAAGATATCATGGAAACCTAAACGTTGAATTCTTGAAGACGAAACCACAATCCTAATCGAGAGTTTTCTTATTTGACTTTGGTAGTCTAAGGTGTCTAAGATGTAATTAACTATAGTTAACTATAGTGGCTTGCCTCTATTAGGAATTAAGAATCCAGATTAATTTAAACCCTATCTAATATGTATATTAGATAAGAGAAATGTCAGCTATAAAATTCACAGAATAAAATATAGTTATAAACTTTTAAGTTTAAATAGTTAAGCCTACCAACAAGTAGTACGTTCATCTCTTGAGATGATATATTACTTGTGATATCGTGACCAGCTATCTAAACTATTAGATATATGAAATCTATCTGGTCTCGTTTTTTTAAAAAATAAAGAATACTATTTTTAAAATCAAAATTACATTATGCATTAAATTCAAATTTAAAATTTTATTTTCAAAACCAAAGAATCATCGTTTAAAGCTCCACAGTCATGGCTCCAAACTTATCTTAGTTCAAGACTTTGTTCACAACCACTCGATGTTATAATAAACTACAAAAAATTGAATCCCTTCATTTTCATGAAGCTTGGCTCCAAATTTGTGGAGGCACGGATTTTGTCTTCTTATAAACCTTTCTCATCAGATGGTTATGAATTTCCTATTCTTTAGCCTACCTGAGAATGAATTGGCACTTTTAGTCTTTGAACTTATTCTCAAGGATGATTAAGTGGAATAATTAGGTTAACACCATGAGCATATAACCATCTAGCTCCACTCAGATGGAGAACATGTAGGAGAAGAGCTCTTAAGATCATGTAATTGCCCTCCTTCAATAATAGAACACGTATGACGTGATAGCCGCAATCAAATTTGGATTAATTTGAGTAGGGATCACACCATAATTGTTCACGATGGGTCGGAGATCTATGTAGAGAGACAACAGGAGATCCCACTGAAATTGGTCTTGATAGAGGATAAGTTCAGTACTGAATCTATTGAGCACACGATCATCCAGGATGACAGCATGCAGATGGATTTAGTCAACAAAGATGCAGGCCTCCTCGAGCGAGGCAGGGTCGACTGAAGTCAAGGCGGACCACTCGGTCATGGGAAGCATCTCAAAGCATTTGGGTGAATACTTATTAGTCATTCAAATGAAAGAAAGTGAAGTGAAAGAAGAAGAACATACTAAAAGGAGGAATATAGATCAAATGCACAAAATAACCCAACCATCAACCCTTATATATTGGGCACCCAAGGAAGTTCAAACGCCGTGAAAGAACCACACGTCAATTTCAAAAACCCAAGTCACATCAGCACAGAATTTGATGAAAAAGTGAATGGAGAAATAGTTTAAAAAATAATAATAATAAAAGACAATTCTTTATTCAGATAAAAAACAATCTGCAAGAAACTCCTCGGCTAAAGCAGCTTCTGGTACAATGCATGCCCCTCAAAACTAAATCAATCTACACTATGAACTTGAACTTGGACTTTCAAAGCTAAGCAGATCGACTGAACATCCGTCAACTACACCTAAATAGTGTCAGTTCCACTGAGTGCTCTTGATTCAAAGTTGCTGACTCCTCCTGGGGCTCCTTCATCTCCGCATCCTATTGCAAGCCGCTACTTCTCATCTTGGGGCCTTCTTGACAGGTAGTAGGGATGTTAAACACTTCCCCCTTGATATGTTTCTTGGTCGGGGTCCTCTCATCTGTGCTAAAAGAAGTAATTTTTTCGGAGATGAATCAATACTCAGGACTACATCAGCTGTATCAACAAACATATTTTAGTATATAAAAACAACTTCTAACTACATCATCTCCACATATCTTGGGCTCAATCTAACTTGACCATTGGAATGATGGATGACTCTCACTAAGCATCAACAGGGCATCCAAGGCAACATTTGGGCTCAATCAACCCGTCATTTAGCTCATGAAGCATAGTTTCAAAACTTTGGTCCTCCAATTTTTGGGGAGTGAAGCTCTATCCATCTTTTGGGTAGGTTGTTCAGTCAGCAGATGACGGGCTATAACAGGTGCAAGGATTGGTGTGCCAACATGCGGGTCACCCAACTTGCATTCCTCCTCTTGCCATATGATTATCAATGAGTTGAATAATGCCACCTTGTTCTAGGAATTTTCCACCCATTTCTTATTGTAGATGTGTTGCTTAACTCGTGTTGAACCTTCAGTTCAGCTCCCTTCTCTCAGCTTTCTCATCGCCCCCGGGCCTTTTCATAGCCTCGCGCCTCTTCGTGCCTCTAGCCGGCTTCCTTCACTTGGCTTCTTTCTTCCGGACTTCCTGACCTCGGAACGACTAACTCCATTCTATCACTTCTTCTCAAGTTCCTTCTCAAAATTAAACATTGACGTAGAAGTCCTTTTGGCTTTTTCCAACATTTGCTTGATAAGGACGTCGTCCATGAACTTTTCGCCAATCAATATGGAAACACACTTGAATTTGAACTATTAGGAGATGTTCTCTCAAGCAGTGCAGACAACAAAAGCACTAATAATCATGATTACACAAATCTAATGAGTTCAATTATTAAGGTTTTGATTACAAAATAAATGAATCTAACTTTTGCATGAAAATCTCTTGTTCTTATTTTGTCACATATTTTAAAAGGCAAGTTAATTGAGAAACTAAATATGTATGTCAGAAATACATTAGAATGTCTTAAGGATATTCAATAGACTAAGAGATAAAAGTGTAGTCAAGAATTACCCACAAAAGGAAGATCAAAGGTCACTTAAACAAAAGATTAAAAGGCCTGATTGGCCAACTATAGCTACCTTTGAGTAGAATCTGAAACTAGCCAAATAGAGGTCGTTCAAGTCTAAGATCAAGAACTTTGAACCAAGAGAAGGCGTCAACTCAGCTCTCACACCAACATCTCCGAGCACCTCAAAAGAGTCCCCAGGACTCTTAAAGAGTCCTAAGGTTCTCATCATTACACACTTCATGAATAATCCAAATGGATTAATTGTCAGGAGGTTGGCTACCTATATATAATTTACCTTTTTTCTCTCTAAAATTAAACTCATGGTATAATAAATGTATCTCAGCAAACAAAAGCAAGGCTTTAATTGTTGTAGTTAATTTTTCTTTTACTACTAAAGAAAGGCTTTGCCACTAAATGAAGGCTTCCAGATTTTTTTTTTCCCTTCCTTGTAAAAGCACAACTTGCTGGCACACAACGCACAACCATTCCTTCTGCTCTTTCTGAAAAGCAAAGCTCAACAAAAGCATAATAGAAGAATAATTACAATCATTGGGTTCTGTTCCAGTAAGATAAGATTCCTCATTCTAATTCCTGCAGCCACCTTCACTAAGCTTAATAATTCAAATTCCACAATCCCGAACAAAATTACATACAAATAAATTATATATTTTTTTTTATTTCTTGCTCTAAAGAAACAAAATAATTTGTACAACATGTGGCTGAAATTTGAGATGTTGCAAAAACAATATTTTTCAACCAATTGCCCATTAATCCCTTCACAACATTTTTTTTTTCATATATAAATTTTCATTTGGGATTATAATATTAATCTCCTAGTACATGCAGTGATAGCTGCCATCATTGACCTCTGAGACTCACTTGTTCTTTGGCGGTGGTGGCGGCGAAATGCAATTCAATGTTTCATTTCGCACACCATCATCAATCTGGCCGAAAACGCTGACACGGCGGCCACGAATATACTCATCCACATGCGTGTCAACCGCGTCATCTTGCTCTACATATGCTGCCTTGCTACGAACTTCATGGGATTTTGGAGACTGACGCTGAGGCTGCGACTTGGCGGCGCTCTTGCGATTTCTTGGAAGCAAGAATGTGGCTAAATACAACGAGGAGATTTTTGTGAGGGTAGCTGCAATCTCCCCAGACTTTTGGCAGATGGATTTGTTCCGGGAGCTAGTTGAGGCCTTGCCAGGAGGCATAGTGATAGAGTTTCTAGTTTGTCAAGGAGATAGGATTAGTTGTAATGATGAATGATTACCAAGTTGAAGGGTTATATAGAGAGGTTGGGATCCTTCATGAAGGTGTTGAGAAAAGTTTGTCTTTTTGGATTCCGGCTCTTTTGTGATTAGAGTTTTATAATTAATTTTTAGTGATTGTTAAAATTATATTTATGAGTTATCATTTTATGTGTGTCCGCTATTGTTTAATATTATAAACTAGACAATGATATTTTCACTCGTCAATTTATTTATTTATTTCAATCTCAACGATATGCGAGACAATATAGAAGTACAACATTGGCTGCCAACTTCTTTTATGATTTCTTTATACCCCACAATTTAACAAATTTTTAAGTGAGCAGATGATATTTACGCACTCACAATGAAACTATATATAAATATATAT